CTTCAGGTTAGGCAAGCACCCTCTATTGCCGTTTTTAAATCACAGCTGAAAACCCGCTACTTCTCCCTGGCCTTCAATTCCAAAACCATAAAGCATTAACTCATCCTTAGTTTTTCCACCTTGTTTGTTTGATTTTTAAATTTGTGTTTTTATATTCTGGTTTCACTTGATCTATTGGGTTTAGTTTGTTGTTCTTTTAACTCTTTTATCTTTTTTTACTTCATATGATATATACGAATTTTTAGCTTGTATTTTTTATTGATTTATTTTATTTTTATGTGCAGCGCTTTGGTCGGTTGTAATGCCGTGTTAAAAGTGCTCTACAAATAAACTGGTATGGTATAGTATGGTATTCAAATTCCACGTTCAACAAGTTTGTAGGATTTCCTTTTTCCACCTTCGGAATATTGCTAAGATTAGAAGCATACTTTCCAGGAGTGATGCTGAAAAACTAGTTCATGCATTTATTACATCAAGACTGGATTACTGTAATCCATTACTCTCAGGAAGTCCACAGAATGTAGTTAAAAGTCTTCAGCTTGTCCAAAATGCTGCAGCTAGAGTTCTGATGAGAATTAAAAAGAGAGATCATATCTCTCCTGTCCTAGCTTCCCTACATTGGCTACCTGTTAAATTCAGAATAGATTTTAAGATCCTTCTTCTCACATATAAAGCTCTTAACAGGGCTGTGCAGAGACCTTTGAAGGGGCGGGTGCTCAAATTTAAAAAGGGGCACACAGAATAATATTTTCAAACACCATGACATAACCACAGTATACCCGGCTGAATAACAAATCATATTTATTAGAAATTCAAAATGGAAGCGAATCATTATATACATCCTTACCACATAAGGACAATGTAAAGCAAAAGTAACTTGTTTTGGTAAATGGTCTGTATTTATATAATGCCTTCTTAGGGTTCTACAACCCCCCAAGGCACATTACAACACAATCAGTCATTCACACACACACATTAACACACTGATGGTGATGAGCTATGATGTAGCCACAGCTGCTCTGGAGCACACTGACAGAGGCGAGGCTGCCGAGCACAGGCGCCACCAGTCCCTCCGACCACCACCAGCAGGCAAAGCAGGTTAAGTGTCTTGCCCAAGGACTCAACAGCATCAATCTCTGATTAAAGTCAGGATCAAACCTGCAACCTTCCGATTACCGGACAACCTGCTCCACCTCCTGATCTATTGCTGTCCTATTTTACCTGATGATGGGGCACAATGTAGCTGTTGCAGGGTTGCTCTTCTTGCTGCTGCTGGTGATGCTGGAGGGCAAGGCTGTGTTGATCTCAGACTGCAGGGAGTATAACGAGCAGAGGAGAAATGTTAGTCAATTACAAAATTAATGTAAGATAAATTAAAAAATGGCAAAAATTGGTGAAAACTCTTAGAACTGTAAGACAGAAATATCTGAGACAAAACCTGTGGTAGAAAATGGAAATCTAAACATTAGTGGATAATAGAGGAGTTCATGTCCGAGATAAGAATGTGACAGAAATATAAACAGAAAGAGTTGTGTGTGTGTGTGTGTGTGTGTGTGTGTGTGTGTGTGTGTGTGTGTGTGTGTGTGTGTGTGTGTGTGTGTGTGTGTGTGTGTGTCTTCAGTCTCCTCATGTGATCTATCACTCTCCACTTGCTGTCCATTTGAGAACAAGGCAAAATTAGCTATTGTATGAATGAATTATGTAGTTATTCACATTTAACAGGTCTTGCACCTAATCCATGATCCATGATGAGTTGTGTATATTATTGTTTCTACACTTGTTGCTGTGAGGCAACTTACCTGTACTCTTTTTTTATCCAGCTGGTGAGGGACCCACTGCCTTTAGCTGCCTCATGTAGCTCTTTCTGTCGCTGCTTCCGCCTCCTCTCCTTACGAGGCATGTCTGTACAATGATATATCATAATTAATTTACAAATATTTTTTCATGCATATAAAACTCATGCATACACATACTGGGACATTTAATTCATTTTCCAGAAAACTAACTGTATATAATTTGGCCACAAATTTGCTTCATGATGCTGATCCAGAATATTTGCATACTATTTTAATCATAGTGCTTTAGTAATTATAATAAAAATAAAGAATAAAACAATATGTTTATGCTTTCATTCAGTTTTACTATCTACTTTGTGCAAAACAGAGAACTGTACAGATAAAATAATTTTGCTGTGAAAACAGTAGTTTTTTTTTAAAATGTACATCTTTAAAACATAATGTTTTTAATACAATGCATTCAAAAAGAGAACAAATATAAAGTCCAACATTTTGAGAATATGCATAGTATTAGTGAACCCACCAGAAGGGCTGAGAAACCTTAAAATCTAAAACAAAAATATGTTCCCTAAAACGCTGGACAGAATTTACAGACAAGGACTGAATATTTAGTAACACAAAACTTGTGACGGATGTTACCTTTAGTATTTTTCTTATTTCCTTTCACAAAAGGTAGCTAAATTTAAAATTAGTTCAAGTTTTATCAGTCTGCGAACCAGGAAGTGATTTTGTAAACAGAAGCAGGGCTGTGTGAGACCCCAGTCACGTGACACGCAGCAGCAATAGGAATGCAACTTTGCGGTACCTAGTTAACAACAAAATTTTATTGGCAAATTCCCAATATTTAAGATTGAAAAAATATTTTCGTACAAGTACTTATGTACAGAATGTTTTTGGTTAATCCTAAAGCTACTGAGGTTCAGAATCGGTACCCAGCCACACACACACCTCGTGCCACAAAACAACTTAATATTGTACAAAATAATCTAATAACTTTGTATAGTAGTTTGCATCCTACTTACCGGTGTTATTCTGTTTCTCCCAATCAATATGTATGTCCTAAAAGCTCTGCACCGCTTGCTCAGCCATGAAGAAAACGTGAGTGCTTGCTGCTTGTTGTGACCGGCTGTGCGCTCTGGCCGGCGTGAGGAAGAGACGGAATGGTCACGTGACGGTATGGTCACGTGACTCACGCCAGCTATATAACATTATTAAACAGAAATTTTATTAATTATTATTTTTGTTATTCTTGAGGGGGCACAAACAGAAAATTCTTTAAAAAAATAAAAAAAAATAAAAAATAAAATAAATATAAAAAAAATCATTAAACCTCAAAAAGGGCACTTTGGGCAGATGGGACAAAAGGGGCAGGGTCTCAAGCACCCTCCGCCCACCCACCCCCACCCCCCCTCTGCACGTGCCTGGCTCTTAATAATCAAGCTCCATCATACATCAGTAATCTGATTGTTCCATATGTTCCTAACCGAGCACTTCGCTCTCAGACTGCAGGTCTACTGGTGGTTCCCAGAATATCTAAAATAGGATGGGAGGCAGATCTTTTAGTTACCAGGCTCTTCTCCTGTGGAACCAGCTCCCAGCTTTAGTCCGTGAGGCAGACACCTTGTCTACTTTTAAGAATAGGCTTAAAACATTTTTATTTGATAGGGGCTATAGTTAAAATCTGATAATAGCCTAAATCTGGACAAGTGGGGGAGTACAGGGAGGTGGAGTGTACAGTCGGTAAAGACGACTCTCCCTTGCCCTGACTCCAACATGCCTCCATCTAAAAGGCTAGGTTATCCAGAGTTTTCTCTGTACTTATAATAATAATAATAATAATAATAGTAATAGTAATAGTAATAATAATAATCTAACTAATATAGCGCTTGTTTAGGACACTCAAAGACGCTTTCATGCACTCTCACATTCACACACTGCTAGTGATGGTAAGCTACTTTGTAGCTACAGCCGCCCTGGGGAGGTCTGACAGAGGCGAGGCTGCCATTTGGCACCGTCGGCCCCTCTGACCACCACTAACACAGGCAAGTTGGGTGAAGTGTCTTGCCCAAGGACACAACAGCAGGATACCCCTGGCGGGAGCTGGAATCGAGCCCTTGACCCTCCGTTCATGAGGCAACCCGCTCTACCACCTGAGCTGCTGCTGCTATAGGCTTAGACTGCTGGAGGATACACTGACCACTCTCCACACTCTACTGCTTTCTTCTACTATCTGCTCTTTAACTGTATTATTTCCTGCTATTTCAGCTGTTAACTTTATTTTCTCTGTAAGTGTTTTTCTCCCCAGAAGAAGCTGCAATGATGTTCTGCTGAGCTGTGGTGGCCTCATGGAGGGGGCCATCGGCTTGAACACTACTGTTAACCACTTAAACATTCTCCCTTTTATGATAACATATTTCATTCTTTGACACTGAATGTGCTGCTACTTGTAACGTACAAAAGTATTTTAATCAAAAGGACCAGAAATCAACTTTTAATTTGCAGACACAAACACCCCATCTGTCTGGCCTCCAAACAAGAAGTACCGTACAAGGCCTTGTCACAGGATATAGGAGACATAATAATCCTAGCTACCTTATCTTAACTGGAACAAAAGTCATGCAGGAGATGAGATCTTCCATGAATCATAAATGGCTTTTTAAAACTTGATAATTGCATAAGTGTTAAATAATCATCTCTTGTTAATTCCCAAAGTGTTTGAATAATGTGTGGAGAGGCTGGTGTTGGTGTGTGTGTGTGTGTGTGTGTGTGTGTGTGTGTGTGTGTGTGTTCTGTCTTCTCCATCCCCAGTGAGTCGTGGAGGATGGCTGCTTATACTGAGCCAGGATCCTCTGGAGGTTTCTTCCTGTTAAAAGGGAGTTTTCCTCTCCACTATCGCTGCATGCTTGCTTAGTATGAGGATTGCTGTAAAGACTCTGACACTAGTCAGTGACTCGATGCGACCTGCTGGGTTTCTTATATAGGAAACTTGTTACTGATTGGCTTAATGACCTTAACTGTACTGGAATGTTTACTGTATGAAGGTCCTTGAGACGACTGTTGTAAATGAACTGAATTGTAATAAATTAAATATTTTCCCCAGTTTCAGTTCTGGTTCCAGAACATGTTACTAACCTCTTGATATACTCCTGTCTCCTCCTTTCTCTTTATCTTATTGTGTCTTCTCATGTCTCTGGTATATCTCAGGTCATAGAGTCTACTCGAGTAGTCAGACACAAAAACCAGCGAGCTTTGCGGTGGGAAGCTGGATTGTTTGCCAACGAGGACAACTAGTGAGACAAGTAGAACCAGATGCAGATCTGAAAGTGAGCTGGCAGCAACAGGACAACTGTTTTCATCTGCTGAGACACAGCTGGTTTCACAGCAACATACCTGAGTATTACAGGATGCTCCTGATTGGTCCTTTTAGATGGGCTGCTTATCGATTTCAGTCTTCAGCCTGAAACCCAATTTATACTTCTCCGTCAGCTCCACGAGGGAGAGACACGCAACCACGGATGGAGACATTTTGCAGCAGACTGAAAAGTATAAATTAGGCTTGAGGCTTTAGTGAGTGATGCAGCAATTTTCTGAGTCAGACTTTTATTTTGAAAAAAAACCCAGGAATTTTCTTACAACTTGTAATTGATGAGTTTAATTTAAATGAAATAATAAAAAATCTGTTTTGGTGTGAGTTTCTGTTTCTGTTTATTTGAAATAAAACAGAATTTGGTTGTTTAACAAGTTCAGAACAGAGTCAGGACTTCATTTGTTATGGGTCAGGCATCAACCTTGAATAACGGTGTGTACATCCACTTCATGACGGTGTTTCTAAAGCATCCCTGGACTTCGGTGTGTCACTGGAACGTAGAAACAGAGGAGACACTCGAAATAACTAAGGCAAGGCTACTTTATTTCTAGAGCACATTTCAAACACAGAGGCAATTCAACGTGCTTTACAATTACCAGGACATGATATGAAAACACATAAAAACACAAAATACACACAAATGGAATTATGTTTATGTATTTAGCAGTTGCTTTTGTCCAAAGCGACTTACAAGTGATAATTACAGTTTAGAGCTAAAGGAGAAGACAAAGTTACAACGCAGATTACAGTGGAGATGACGCAGCATGAGAAACAATTCATTTAAAGTCTAATGAGTACATTAGGTTTTTAGTTTTCTTTTAAACAACACTAGGGTTGGGGCATGAGGTCATGGGCAAGCTGATTCCATATGTGAGCAGCATAGTAACTAAATGCTGGCTCTCCCTGCATATCCTTAGTGGTGGAGACGCAAACAGGCCAACAAGAGGAATGAAACAGGGAGTTTATGGCACATTTACTTTAAGGTTAGGGATATTGCATCTACATTAGTGGTGTTTGTGCAGAGCAGACTGGGATTTTTTTGGCCCTGCATCTCTGCAGTCTGTCTGAGCTGAGCCGACCATAAGCACCCACCTATGGACTGATTGGTCAGCTGAAACCTACCTACTAGTGGGAGCTTCTGATATGCATGGGTAGAATCAGCCAGTGGTGGCTCCCTGCATGGGTGATTCACCAGCAATCAACATGCAGAGGGGTAAACTTCTTCTCTGACTGCAGCTTAGACCAGTTGGGCCTGCAGGGGCAGTGCTAGAACTGACCGTCTGCCGTAAGCAAAAATACCAAACAGTAGCACAAGGGGGCAGATCCTAACAGGGATCCACAAATGGAAGAAGAAAAAGACGGCGATCTTTTATATAGTGCCTCTCTGTGACCGTTTACCAGGGGTAACCTGGCTGCCTATTACTGCTTAATGACTTCCTGATACACACACAAGCTTCATTTAGTGCTCCATGTATTCAACCTGACTGAGCTGTCAGCCTCATCTCTTGTTACGTCTCTGAGGGAGAGCCCACCCATCCTGTGGAGAAAACTTATTTCGGCCTTTTTATCTGCAATCTTGTTATTTCAGTCACTACCCAGACCTCATGACCATAGGTGAGGGTGGAAACGTAGATTGACCAGTATATCGAGAGTTTCGTCTTCTGGCTTAGTCTCTATTCACTACAACAGATCGGTACAACTTCGACATCACTGCAGATGCACCACCAATCCGCTTGTTCATCTCATGCTCCAGCTTTTCCTCACTCATAAAGGAGACCCTGAGGTACTTAAACTCCTCCACTTGAGGCAGGACCTCATCCCTGACCCGAAGAAGCCTTCTACCCTTTTCCGATTCAAGACCATGTTCTTGGATTTAGGGGAGATGATTCTCATCCCAGCTGCTTCACGCTCCAGTGAGAGCCGGAGATCACGTTCTGATGAAGCTAGCAAGACAACAGCACCTGCAAAAAGCAAAGACCTGATCCTCAGGCCACCAAAACAGATGCCCTCAACACCTTGGCTGCACCTAGATATCCTGTCCATAAAAGTTGTGAACAGAATCTGTGACAAAGGACAGCCTTGGCAGAGTTTAGATCTCACCAGGAATTAGTCCAACCTACTGCCGACAATGCGGGCCAAGCTCTGACACCAGTCATACAGGCAGGGCCACCTTCTCCATCTGACAGGCCCAAGGGCAAAGAGGCTCAGTTGGCTCCCTACGGGGGAAAACAGGTGTGCTCATCAGCGAGAAGTTGAGAGGCTGGTGGTCTGGTGTAGTCAGAACAATCTTGAACTTAACACCCTTAAGACTGTGGAGATGGTCCTGGATTTTAGGAAGCTTCCCACAGTGCTGCCCCCCCCCTCACATTATCCAACAGCCCAGTGTCAGTGGTGGACTCATTCAAGTTCTTGGGAACTATCATTTCCAGGGATCTGAAGTGGGAAACAAACATCAACTCCATCGTCAAAAAGGCTCAGCAGAGGATGTATTTCTTACGGCAACTAAGGAAGTACGGCCTACCACAAGAGCTGCTGATCATCTTCTACACTGCTGCAGTCGAATCCATACTTTGCTCATCCATCACTGTCTGGTTTGGGTCAGCCACAAAAATGGACAAATGCAGACTACAGCGTGTTATTACAACAGCAGGAAAAATCATTGGTGCCCAACTGCCCTCTGTCCAGGAACTGTACATCAGCAGGAGCAGGAGAAAGGCAGTGAATATTGTCCAAGATGCCACACATCCTGCATCTACTCTCTTCCATCTCCTCCCATCTGGCAGACGCGATAGATCGCTGTACACAAAAACCACCAGACACAAGAACAGTTTCTTTCCTTCAGCCATTTCTCTCCTGAATCTGTAGATTATTTTACCTTCCTTTTACTATAGTTTTTAATACTTATTCAGTATGCTTATGGATATGTGTGTGTGTGTGTGTGTGTGTGTATATGTATATATGTGTGTGTGTAAATGAACATGTGTGTGGGTATACATGTTCTTATGAGTTTTTAGGTATTTTTATTCTCATTTATTGCGGTTGTTGTATGTTTTAGAGAGCGAACATCTACCGAAGACAAATTCCTTGTAAATGTACTTTTACTTGGCCAATAAATCTGAAATCTGAATCTGAAATTGGTGGAGCAGGTTAACTGTTTTTGTCAGGTGACTGAATTGTGCTTTTGTCAGTCATTGTTCATCTCTTTCTTTTACTGTCCCTGGAACCCTTATTCATGCATCCATCACATCACAAATCCACTAATACAATAGTATCTTATGTAGTATCCCATCCAAAACCCTCACCAAACTTCAACACATCCAGAATTCTGCTTCCCATCTCCTAAACCACACCTGCTGGACAAGGAGCTGAAGGTTTGGTTCACTAAAATTGACAAGTCAGGCCTGCCAGGCAGGTTCAAACCATGGACTTACCAACACTACATTGTCCCACATGTTCTGAGGCTCCTGCTTGTTTACTCAATCCCAGTGTAAACAGTGAGGTGCCTGGAGAGGAAAATCAATTGATTTCTCCATAAATGGCTGGGTGTCCCCTGCAGTATTTGCAGTGCAGCCCTGTACTGAAGAAGCAACACCTTACAACTTCCATTCAGTGGCCTAACTGAAGAATTTATGGTAGCATGCACAAGAGAAGTCCTCCAGTACATGGACTCCCAGGACCAGAACGTGTCAGCAGCTGGCATTGATATGAGAACAGGAAGGAAGTGGAAAGCAGAGAGAGCAGTGGACGTGGCAGAGTCTTGCCTCAGGCAGAAGGAACTGGTGGGAACATTGGCCATCGGGAGAGCTGGTTTGGGCTATTACCCAAAGACCCGACTAGGCAACACCCGAGAGAAGGAGAGAAATCAGCAGATGCAAGATAAGGTTCGAGAAGGTGTCTACAGAGTCTACAGAGAAGAAGTAACAACATGTTTCTTATGTCATAATGGTAAAAGTATTCAAAGCATTTATTAAAACAACTCCCATCAGTTATCTTGGTAGTTATACTTGCAGAGTTCACCACTGGCCACCAGGGTGTGCTGTGATCAAACCTCGGCGGAAAAAGGTGTCCTCAGGGATGTGCCTGAAATCACGTACATGCGACTATCCCTCACTGTACATACTGCTGCTTCTCATTTGTATTGCTGCTACTCAACCATCACACTGCTGTCCATCCATGCTATTGTTCAACTTGTATCTGTAAGTCTTCACATGCTTGTTAAGCTAATGTAATGGTCACATTGTCAGTATGCATGCTAAGCCGCATTGCGTTTGTTTACGTATTTTATCACATTGCCTTGCTTTAGCCTTTAGCCCATGCTGATGCTTCATGCTGCCGTTAGCTTATGCTCACTCAGCTTTGTATGTCGCCGCAGGGCTCCTTCATCTTTGTCAATACACATCGAGGAGTGTATTTCTTCATGAAGGAGCCATGGTAGTCGTCAGATGCTCCGTTCCAGCCTGCATGTTCGCCACCAACGACGTGTCTGAGGCACTCGCCGTGATGCTGCTGGCAAACCATGGCCTCGCCCATCAGAGCCGGACTGGCCCCGGGCCTGCCTGGCCCTGCGCTGGATCGACCAAGAGTAAATGTCGGCATGTCCATTGAGGAATGGAAAGTTTTCACCCACCGCTGGAACCTCTTCCATGCTGGCTCGGGCATAGGTGATACCCAGGCCCCCTTCCGGCTGTTTCAGTGTGCCGGTCTGGAACTTGGGGACAGTTTGCTGAAGGCTAACCCGGGTGCTGCAACTGGACCGGTTGAGACTCTGCTGGCTGCCATGTGCTCTTTGGCAGTGACACCGGTTGCCACATGTGTTCTGAGGACTGATCTGCTTCAACTACGCCAGGAGCGTGACAAGCCCTTTCGTTCTCTTGGCGCCAGGGTGAGTGTCTTCGTCTTCGTCTTCCTCCGCTTATCCGGGTCCGGGTCGCAGGGGCAGCATACCAATTAGGGAGCTCCAGGCCGTCCTCTCCCCGGCCTTGTCCACCAGCTCCTCCGGCAGGACCCCAAGGCGTTCCCGGACCAGATTGGAGATGTAACCTCTCCAACGTGTCCTGGGTCGACCCGGGGGCCTTCTGCCGGCAGGACATGCCCGAAACACCTCCCCGGGGAGGCGTCCAGGAGGCATCCTGACCAGATGCCCAAACCACCTCAACTGGCTCCTTTCGATCCGGAGGAGCAGCGGTTCTACTCCGAGTCCCTCCCGAATGTCCGAGCTCCTCACCCTATCTCTAAGGCTGAGCCCGGCCACCCTACGGAGGAAACTCATTTCGGCCGCTTGTATCCGCGATCTCGTTCTTTCGGTCATTACCCAAAGCTCATGA